ATATCTTAAATTTTATAAAGTGAAACGCGACTTCACATCTCAACAACTGCGAAAATCTATCAATTAAATGCATACAACAAAGTGAATCTATTTAACCGTACCGCAGAGTTCCAGTAATTGCGACAATATTCTAAGAAAGGTAACGCCTCAATACACCACAATAGTATTTTCTCATCCTACTCGGGGTATTTTACTTTATGCACGTGCATAATTACACGAAAATCAAGTGCCTCGATTTGGGGAAAATTACGTCCTTGCCAAACAGCGAAAACGTGTTTAACTCACATGCGTCATTTCAGTCTTCGCCGAAAATAAACCGCATGCTCAGCACAAGACTTATTTGCATACAATGAAAGTCGTCACAAGTCTTATCCCCAGTTTCCACGGTCTCCGTTAGGAACGCCTGGAAGTTTGCCCTCCTTTTTGCTACGGACAGACGGAAGAAAAAAATTCTTGCGTTTTTAGAGTCTCGCTCTGCTAAAGCAAGCTCGACTAAAAAGCCAAGTGGACTTGCATTTTATTGATGGATAGTAAATAATTAATACTGATGCACAAGCATTCCTTTTTTTGGGGGAAAAGGAGTCATTCAGATTGTACTTCCTTCTTTGTGATAATGTTCTATTAAAAAATGCACTTTTACAGGGCCAACGACAGATTTTGCAAGTTACCATGTTCGTTGGACATTGGCAAAAAAAATTTAATATAAGGAAAAAAGTGTTTTGAATCCAGGTTTAACATTCAATTGGAATTGATTCTTTTTTAGTTTACAAGCCTGTTTCGTGCTGAATTTGTTAAATTCGACTTTTTTATATGGAAAAAGGCTAATTTGATACAAACCTATTTATAGAAGCCTTTTATCACTGCAGATAGCATTTTTTTTGTATTCTTACTTATTCAACATTCTTCATTAGTACGCATGTTGTGCTGTTAGTTTTTTAATGTGTTAAATTTGAATGTGCCATATAAAAGTGTCAAACAAAATATTAATCATCAACATGATTATTCTTATTCTTATTATTGTTAGCTTCCTGGGATCAAAGGGAAAAAATGCCTGGCTACGCCCCTGACTGACATGTTACCGTGAAGACACAAACCGATATTATGCAGAATTATCTCAAAACGCTGTCAATTATTTTCAAACAGAAGTAAATAGTGAATGATAACAGTTCACTTATGCACAAATGGAATTTAAAAAAAAGTATGACAAAAACCATTGACCACAAGTACAGTTGAATCTCGTCTTTTGGGAGTTATTAATAAGGAGAACATTGGTTCGAATTATGGAGACAATGGGAAAATTGCGGGTGGACAGAGCTAGAGTTAAGGTTTGGTTCGAATTAATTAAAGAGAGATTCGAGAAACCGAGAGTTCCAGAAATTGGGATTCTATCGGATATATGACTTTTTCCAGGGTCAGTTCATCTGATTTAAGTGCTTTAAGCCATAAAGATCAATAATCCGGCTTAGAGTGCGAAATCTTCTTTGATAAAGCATTAGATTCATTGCTTACTTTCATATTTTGCCTTAAACATTACGATCGAGCTTCACCGGTAAACGTCAGGCGAACGTTGATATCTAACATAAAGATTCTTTGGCGACTATCATAATCACGATTCTATGGTGGACGTTCGAGCGATAAAAAAAGGAGTGGAAACAGTAAAAAAAACAACTATTTATCACGACCTGTAAAGCTGAAAGGCGATAGTAATAATTTTTAACTGGAAGATATGTTCATATGCAAATTCAAGTTTGTTCGTTTCTTTTTTCGATAAATTTTACCTTCGCAAATCAGAAGCAAATGGCCTGAATCTTTCGTAATTAATAGCTTGCATTTTAATACTGCTCAAGCACTTCCAAACTCCGATTGGTCAAAAGGACAGCGAGGTGACAACAGAGTTTGTCTGCAACACCGATTTATATACTGTGGTAAACATGGTCTTTGCGTTAAATTGAGAATAATTTGCAACATTAATCCGAATACACATTTCCTGATGCTCAAATTGTCTGTAGCGCTCATTTCGTCTTCAAAAAGACAGCTGCGGGCGAAAAGAAAATCATTTTGAATAATCAGGGCTAAGAGACAGTAATTGCATTTTTCTTAATCCAAAGCAGCTAATCCGTAATTTCAAAGATGGTAGCCTTTCTGAATACCGCATTTTCTTTTATGTTAATACTGCTTTGTGTCATATAAAACCCTTATGGTTCATTCCTAGGGTTGTTCGATCAAAATTACTCGGCCAAAAATCAAATCTCTTATCAGGAACGGAATAATCTATCTTTACACCAAGTTCTACATCAAATAATACCATTGTAAATTTTAAATTTCAGACTTTACCGACAGATGGTAAATACAGATAATAATAGACCTGTTGTAATTTCCCATAGAAATAAAAATCGCTGCTTCGACCAGGAACAATTCTATATAAGACCTCATTGCAGGTTGATAAGCATGATATTTACCGACATGTATTTAGTCATCTTCCCAAAGTAAAACCTTTTTTTCCTTTTAATTTTGTAATTTTTCCTCAAGTGCGCAGCTCATTACCGTTGCCAAATTAAATAACGAGCGACAAAAGCGATTGCCGGGAAGCTTAAATTTGTCCTGTACTCGAAGAAATTTATCATATACATGCATATTTTTTCTTTTTCCTATAACTGTGTTATTAAATATCATCAGGAAAGCTATTAGTAAGTGCTAGTAAACGGTTTCAAGAAATAACTACCAATTTTGATATTTGGAATATAACAAAACATAGTTTACCTTGATAATGAGAAATATAAGTGCTTCCGCTTAGGCCCTTTCTAGAAACTGGTGCCTCGTGTTTACTTTGCGTGCGAGCGAGGTTGCTCCCTTAAAGACCAGAAAAGAAACTGAGCCTGCGTTCCGAGCTATCACGGTCAGCGATCGATTCCATAATGAAATGGGTTGTTTTGGAACTCACGCTCTTCGATAAAACTAGCAGAGCCGAAAGGCCCGCCATGTTGAATTCATACATCGTTATAAACCTCTAAGAGAACGGGTCGGAACGTATCTCGAGGAAACTTAGGGTTTCATCAAGTCTAGTAGGGAGGACACGACCCCAGCCGAATCCCATCTCGTTCTCTTTCTCTCCTACCCGAAACTTTGAACCCGTGAGGTTTTTCGAAAAGAATAGGGGAATTAAGTTACCGGTGTCATGGTCTATCTGACTTATGCCGTCATTGGTCTGGGTGGGTGTGTGGATGAGTGAGGTGGGATCAAACATGGACTGAAGCAGCTGCATTATACGCCTTTAAAAGCCGACGTCCGATCTCTCCGCAATTCAGCTATTGGCTGCATGTGAGGAAAGTGCCGCATATTTTATCGTAAGTTTTTAAGCCTTGGATACGACCACAAAAACCAGTAGTGCACATAGCAAAATAGTTGTGATTTTATTAGAACCCTTGAAATTATTTTCACAAATTCGTTCTTAGTGTAAAAAGTAGCTAAAAAAAAAAAAGCGGCCTACGTCAGGATTAACACTGTGGTTGATAATCTTTCTTTTTTTTTTAATTCAAATGTATGATGTGATCAACCTGAGAAAATGCACTTCCGTAGTTAAGATTTCTTACAGCATAAATGTTAGAAATGCGGATGATATATACAAGAGCGAGGGCAGGACACGTTTTACACGTTTTCTCGCGTGCATAGAGAGACAGTATCAGACAGTGGCTGTTTATAATACTGTCTTTATAGAAGGTGGCTAGTCTCAAAGTAGAATGCTCGTCGCGTACGATACAAAACGTAAAACATGTCGCCCTTATATGACCTTTGCGTCTTGGTAAACTGCGCCACTTCCTGGGTTAAGAAGTGAAAAATTCAAAGATGATGCACCGAAGGTTAAATTTTTTGATGGACTAAATCCCGGTTTTAGGCCAGCTAGTTAAGTAGCAGATCATTAATCCGGTTATGCCTTCTTCCGGAGAATTTTCAACTGAGTGCGGTAAAAACCAAAGCCAATCAAAATAGAGGCAAACAGCCTGATGAACGAATCAGAACTGGCTTGAAGCAAATAGCCGGCAGCCGAAGCTAAGTCTTGCGAGGGAAAGTACGCGCAAGAAAGTGATGATTGAATAAACTTCAGATAGGTTGAAATATGAGTAACATTTTTTTAAAGTAGTGGCAAACAGGCCAATGGAGCAATCAGAACTGAAGCAAATAGCAGGCAGCCGAACCCAAACGCGGGGTAGTACGTTAAGCAGCTCACGGTTGATTTAACTGCTGATTGGGATAAAATCGGACTGTGCCACCAAAATATGATTAATTTTCTTGCCAGCACCCTAAACCTCACCACGAAGAACAACGCTTAAAACGTCAAAAGATACAACTTTTTAGTTCAGGGCTTAAAAACCGGGATTTAACTGTGTGGAAACAAGCTGTAGCAGGAGCTGGCTGTTGCTTTATATTACAATATTCCACCAGCCCTTTTGAACTATTAATTTCTAATATATTGCCTCTACAAATTCTGAATAATTTCAGAGCTGAACTAATCAGGTTTACTTTGTTATTCTCATCTGCCAAACACTGGCGAAAACTTAAATTAACATCACAGGCATCCCATTCTTGGGTTCTCCTGTGTAAATGTACGTATTATCTGGGAAGCTAAAGATACGTTTAACTCTAAACGTAATGGCTATTTCTATATATTTACAGTCACCCACTCAGACAGCGCACCTATCAGCGGCTCTTATCAGCCTAACAAGAACCCCTACTAGCCCGCGCAAAGAGATCTAAAACTCCCTTCAAAACGTGCAGAGATCTTTCACATATATTACACTATCTGCAAATACCACTGCGACTACATATAGTAGTTTAGCCCGCGCGCAAACTGTCCTATTTGGGCGAGTGAAGCGTGCCGCGCGAGAACCCCTCGGTTCTCTCCCCCGCCCCTCGCTTTCGCGTCTCCTCTCGCGTGCCTCTCACGTGTCTACTTTTCACGACATTCCCCAAATGGAGAGCTTGCTCGCAGGCTAGTAGTAGTATCACATCACTGCACAGGTTGTGGACTGCATGGGGTCCTCCTCGTTTACTACGTATGTAGTTTTTCTCAGCTTGGCTGGCGTGTGCTTTACTTGGTCATAGACACTGAAAGAGATTAACAGAGCTAAGTCATGGTGAGTTCAACTTTTTTCGGGCATCGTTTCGGATACTTGGAACTCTGAACGACAGATATCATATGATTCTATCAAAGAAAAATCATAGTTTAATCGGTTTTTTGGTTATTTTTTCGCCAACACAGAAGCTACTCGTTGAAAAAGTTGTGGCCCAGTTTTTTTTCAAGTTGCAATACTTTTCCATCCTGAACATTGACAGGCAAAGACATGCAAAAATATCATATGATTCTATCACAGAAAAATCATAGTTTAATCGGTTTTTTGGTTATTTTTTCGCCAGAAGCTACTCGTTGAAAACGTTTTGGCCCAGTTTTTTTCAAGTTGCAATACTTTTCCATCCTGAACATTGACAGGTAAAGACAGCAGTAGAGTAATTTTAAATAAAACTGAGCCATTATCTCAGGATCTTCTTTCATTTCAGTGTTTTAAATTTGTGCCACAAAATCGTGATACAGCTCCCTTATACCGTGCTGTAAGAACTTTCTTAATTTAAAGTCGAAAGAGCTGCATGATCAGTAACTACCAAATTGGAGTAAAATTTAAAAGTAAAAGGAGAATCGTTTCCTCTTCCGGTTTTGTCCGAAAGAGGTCGATCGCGCCGCTTTGAAATAACTACAAACGCTAAAGAGATAATTTTTTAATCACACTCAAAGAGGGCACAAAACTGGGATTAAGTCGTAATTTTATTCTCACGATAAAGTCTTACACTGATGAAGAGAATCACACAGAAAAATACGTTTTTGGAGGTTTCAGCTGAGACATACCTTTGAAGAGGAGATCGAACAGCTTGCACACAAGACACTTCAAGCTTGGGTCTAAGGCAACGTTTTTTTGCTCCTTTCGGGGAAAACAGCTAAAGAAAGGATATCACGAGTGAGAGAAATAACAACCTAGTTACCAGAGAAACCATGGAAACTAGCGTGATTCTATAACTGAGGTGTTTTAGTAAGCTCCTGTGTTGATATCATTTCTAGGCAAACTATAAAAGCAAAGCGGTTAACCCTTCGAACTCCGCATCTGGAGGTCCAGGATTCAAGCCTCGCCCGTCGCGTTGTTTCCTTAGACAAGAAACTTTTCTTCACTTTGTTTCTCTTCGCCCAGGTGTGTTTACTAAATGGCTTCCGGCGACATAGTGTTGTGGGGGGGTGGGGACCCTGCGATGGACTAGCATCCCGTCTAGAGGGGAGTAGTAATCGTCATGCTAAAGAAACCGGGATAAGCCTCAGCCGTTTGGGCCTTCGGCTCGTGTGCGCCTTTACCCTTTTTTTATAAAAGCAAACTAACCTCCACCTCTCGGTTTTCCTTAAAGGACATTTTTCTTTTCTGAGCCCGTGTTCTTACACCGTTATGCCCAGCAGTCATATCTTGATTGTTTGCGGTTTCAGCAACCGTTTCACCGGTACTGGTAGCTTCTTCACTATTATTCTGATTCCATTCTCCCTGTTCTGTTAGGGAACTCGCGCAAGCAGTAGTGTTTGTTTCAGTCTTGATCCATGGAGAGTTGATGACAGTTTCTTTGCTCCGTGTTCGAGTGTTCGGTCTTCTAATCGGTGTGCCGCTGCCGATGGGTTTTCTTGCCTTGGTTTTGGAGGACCAGGGCGTGATCGATTTGTTTAGCATCTCTTTTCTTAAAGGGTACAGACTATCTTTGATGCAAACTGCGGGACTTGAACATTCCGCGCCTGAATCCTGCAAGTCACAGTTACAAGGAAAAGAAAAATTAAAATGGACCGCCCGTTACATGCGAACTTTAATGCACGCCAATAACTAAAATTTTTTCTCTAACTGCGAACTTTAACCCTAATTCAAATACACGTTTTCCAAACTCCGTTTGACTTTGTGGATCGAAACTTGAACGCACTTCATTTTAAGTAATTATGGCCAAGCTTTAGTTTATTGGGATGAGCGTTATGCAATACAGCGCGTTTCTGAATTTTGCCAGTGTCATATGTATCCCAAAGTGACCGTAGAATTGTAGGATGTGAGCAGAACAGTGAAACCTCGTTATAACGAAACTCTATATAACGAAGTCCTCGATATAACGAAAGATTTTCTTTACCCCAGTAATAGTAAAACATATGGAAAAGAACCTCGATATAACGAAACCTCGTTATAGCGAAGAAATGTCCCCAGTTCCTTGGCTCTTCGTTATATCGAGGTTCGACTGTACCTCTTAGTCTAAAGACTCCTGAAGTGGTATTTATTATGTTTCAAAGAGGATACAACGTTTGAGTTTCAACTTTGTGGTATGAGAACTGCGAGTTAAATTACTTTGAAACCTCCAAATGTCGCGTCCAGGGCGCTGTTTTGAAAATTCATAGCCTAGATGGGAGAGTTGATTCATTAGCGGGTGCTTGTTTCGTCATTCAGGATTCGGTCTGAGTATGACTTTGTTTTTACGCCAAGTGATCACAAACTGTGAAACATAATAGCAACACTATAGTTGATGGGGGGAGGGGGGTTAGATTACGGGGCTAGGGGTGAGCTCATTTGAAGCAATTCAAATGAAAGCCGCCTATTATATGACAGCATTATCCGTCCAAGACATTTGCTGACAGTAGATGAAAAGTCTTAGTTTGAAAATATATTCACTATACAATCTATAGCCTCTCACACGTGGTTAACTAACCTGTCGAATCAGACTCAGTCCTAAGCGAGCTTTCTTGGCCGCGGACCTTGTCAGAGGAGTGGATCTTTTCGGTAATTCAAAATCCTTAGGCTTTCTTAAGGAGGCTCTGCAAGTTTTGAGGTTGCTGGAAACCAAAGCGAAAGTATAGATAGATAAAGAAAAGAAACTGTCAAAGTGATATTCACACTGACTAATCGTGCTTTCCTTCACGACAGTTAAACTGGAGCAGTTGTGTTATTGAACATTATTAGAGTTGAAGCTTCACGTATGTATGCTCCCTGACTATATACGGTAAACGTCAGATTGAAGTTGAGAATCTCTCAAAATAGAAAATGAGTAGACAAAAACAGCTCAAAACAATTCTTACCGATAAAAAATTGCGTGAAACTACCAATTGAGGCGAAGAAATAGTGAACAGTAAACGACAAGTAAAGAGGAAACTTGGTCACGTGGTACAAATTTGCGTTTGCCGTTCGACGTAAACGTGCTGCTTAACCTCTCTATTATTATTATTTTATTCCACGTTAATTTTTTTAAAAAAAAATGCTATTGATGTAGGCCCTGGTATTAGGCTACGTTCACATGGCATGATCACACGAACTTTCAACCGGTTGAAAATTCTTCTACCCTGGGTGCCAGAGGATTTTTATGCACGGTTTCCGGTTTCGGTCAAATCTTAAAATGTGACCCGCTCGTGTCTTCGGCCTTCGGCCGACGAAGCTCCTCGTCGTACGCGAGAAAAGACCTCTGGTGCCCAGGGTAAAATTCGTCCGGTACCGCATGAAAGCAGCCTTAGTCTGCAAAGGTACAAAAACGCTTTACTAACCTGATGGCATCCCTAATACAGTTAAACCAATTCACCGCTTCCATTTTCGACTTCGAATACAAAAGCAAAGATTTATCTTTGCATGTTATCTGTAATGAGATAAAAAAAAGGTAAACACTATAATCGATCCCCAAGGAAACAAGCACACTTCCGGTGTAGTCTACGTCACTTGTTTGTCTAAAACCGCTTACCTTGAAGAGAGCCCCAGCACCGGAAGTATCTTCATTCTCTGTTGAGCCGCCTAACACTTGCTCCAATTCACAATCGATCAGCGGTAACACACGACGGCACAGGTAGGAGCTGTGTGCAGTGGATAATAAAAACAATTAATCTTGTTCTGAAGTACACAATAGAATACTCTACCACAGGACCCGTGCAAAACTATGTGATCATGTGAGCACTCGCATCGGTAGTTTAAATCGAAAAATGCATGAAAATTACGAAAGGTTCGTTTTAACCCAAGAAATATGAGTGATTTATAAACATGAATCCAAAGCGAATTGAGGTTAGGGTGAAGGGTACTTTCTGTATAGCGTAAATCCCATATTTAGTCCCCCTTTCAAATAAGCCCCCCCCCCCCCTTTCAGGAGAAGAACGTAATTAACCCCGCCTCTTTTAATGCCTTCTCCCCTCCCCTTTATTCTTGAACGATAGACTGTGTTTATTAATCACAACTGTAACACTTCACGCGGACTGATCCGGTATGATTTATTCACGTGCTGAAACTCTGAAAGTCCGGATTTGTTTTGGATCTTCGGCTACTTGCATGACCTCCAACTTTATGTGCTTAAGCTTTTCCAATTCGCGTCCTAGTTTGTATGAAGAATTTACACGATCATCTTCAGTAAATTTAACAATCCCCTCCTCTCTAATAAGCTAAGTCCCCCCTCAAAAGAGTTTGAAATAAATAAACCCCTGGAAGTGGGTACCAGAAGTTTATTTCTCGCGTGCGGCTGGATGTTTCGGTGTCGGATGCAGGCCAACAGATCTTCGGCCAAAGGCCGAAAGACTTGTCTGAAATCGGAAACCGAGCATGAAAAGTCTGGGGTATAATCCTAGATTGTCCCGAATAGACAACCTAAGGTCTCGACTGTCTTTCCTTCGTAAAGGCAAAATAAAGAGGTTTTAACACTGTAGATATTTGAACCGTGTACCGTATTTTGCTCTAAGTGTTTTCTTTTAGTGTCAAAATGGTGTTCGATGCGAGTATGACTCCAATTATCTTGAAAGTTCAACCGCACTTTCTCCTCGTCATCACCACATTATAAAAGTTACGCACAAGGAAAAACAAAGGCCTTTGAGGTTTATTTAGCTAGAGATACGATGCAACCTTCCAACGAGAAGAAAAAAAGAAGTTTGTAGCATCCTTACGGCCCTACCTTTGTTCCTTTTCCACTGAGCCACTAATTTTGGCGTAAATTAGAATGTCCGAGAACAAGAAAAACATTCTTTCCTGGGATCCTCGGCTGCACACCTGCAGATGAAAAACACGTGTCAAGTGAGGAACACGCCCAAGACCACGTGGAAGAACACGGCTTTCCGTTTTCCGTAAACTGATCATTTCACTCACAATTCTTGTGATCCACTCCTATAGCCTTTGCCAGAAGCATATAACCCCGATCAGGGTTATATGCTTCTACCTTTGCAAGGACTAGCTTTTCCGCTGCATTATTTAAAATCTTATTGAGTATCTTATTGTTTTGACTGGGATTCTAGTAGCCTGAGAAAACAGCCGACATCTCCGACGCCACCACCGGTTCACACCCGAAATGATGTCTGAGCAACGACTACAGAAATTCCATATCGATGACGTGTTACTAGCCAGGTTTGGGCAGTAAGTGCTTCTGATTGGTTGAAACAAATTTCGCTCAGGGCACGACCAATCAGAAACGTTACCAAAATCTCAGCAATGACACGTTGTCATTAGCATGGAATTTCTCCAGTCGTTCCCCAGACGTCACGGCTGTATTATCAGGCTAGGTTTTTCGTTTTCTTTTCTAGGTTTCTCGGTGTATGATATTTTGTTCACATAAGATTAAAACAGGGTATTTTTGACTAACACAGATAACTAAGAAAAGATGGATACACGCAAGGTTTAAATACAACTTAGCAATTTAACAATATAGATATCCAATTTTTTATCGGGTTGTATATGATAATTGTAAATGATCTCTACGATTTTAACGATTAGTATACTTCACTCTCTGTAACGTTTGTTATGTATTTTGACGGGCGAAATAAGGACATTTATTATTATTTGTTATTATTATTACAAGTAAATTCAACTGTACCTTCAACAATGGCCCCTCTCTTATAAAAAGCCTCCCTAAAAAGAAAGAGAAACAGCATTTACCTTTATATAACACTGAGTAGAAAGCGGGCGAGTGAAATTAGGAAGTTTCATGTTGCAGTCGTGCAACAACGGATAAGAAATGTACCAAAAAGCATGATACACTTGCAAAGTTGTTCTTTTTCTGATCTAAACCTATTGCTTTTTTGCTGTTGCAAAAACTCTCTATTGTTGTGATCCAAAAATTTTGCTACCATAGTAATGTGACATCACACCTCTCTTCTCCATTGTATAGCTCCTTACTTTAGGAGTAAACACATTGTATGACCTGCTATGAGGTAGTGAACTGAAGTGGTGTTACCATATGCAGACATGTGTGTAGCTTTGGCTCAGTCAGTATAGCATACAGTATTCTTTACCTTCATTCATCACAAAAAGGCTTTTATTTATAAAAATTTGCAGTGTAATTACCTGGTGCCAGTATTTTTGGAGCACCTTCTCCAGTCAGTGCATTCTGAATGGATAACATTTTCTGGAAATTCTCCCGCTGCCGAATGTTTTCATTTATATGATGAGCAACTTTGTTTATTTCAACTGTGGCCTCTGAGAAAAAAAATTATCCAGTAGTCAAATTAGAGAGGTCAAAAGCTTACATTTATAGAATAATTCATGTAACTAACATATACCAGTAGATGAAAATAAAAGAGACAACATTTATGTAAGGCTTCACCTTGTACAGTGTTTACTGAACAATAAATTTTAATTAGTGAAAAGTTTGGGTCTCAAGTGAAGAAGAAATCAAGGCAAAGTAGGAGACAGTTTGAGTCTGGAGGAGGGGGGGGGACACTTTTGGAAGTTTGGGTGAATGCACCACAAACAGTCACCCCATGTTCAAGGTTTCTGGTCCAGAAAGACACCCTATAGTCTCCCCCGCAACCATTTTTTGTCTTGTCATGCAATCCTCCTCCCCAACAATGGATCTTGTGTGATTTGTGCACCTCAATACTTGGTTGACCAACATATTGGCTGATAGTGTCGACTGATACTCACCCAAGGGGTGCATAAATTACACAAGATCCCAACTGGACACCCTAAGACACAAGACCAAGAAATTGTATACCCTGTTTATGATTCCAGACCCCATACTCTTTTCAGTTGCAAATACCTGTTTCTAAGGCAAAAATTCACGGGGAGTCCCCAAGGGGTTTTGAGCAAAAATAAAGAATGATCAAGCAGTTCTTTAGAAATCATGTTGGGTTTTCTTTCTCTTTTGCTATGTTACATATATTATTTTTCTTGCTATGGTAAAATTGTTCTGAATTATAAGATACCTTGCAATTTGTCAAAGTCAGGATGATCTCTTGGAGTTTTGTTCAACAGACTTTCCAGTAACAACTTGTACCTAAAAATTATGAAAAATATAATAATTTATTATTATAATCACCATTATTTAACTTATTTTTAATAAATGACATCCTTACCTTGGAACTCTCTGAACAGGAGTTATAAGTAAGGCACCTAGATTTAAACCCTTGCATTCAGTACGCATCTCCTGAGCTTTCTTAAAAGTTGCAAAATCATTATTCTTCTTTTCCCATTCCTGTAAAAAGAAAGAATCACAGAAAAATGAAATGTTCAATCATTTATTGTTGTCTATATATATGCAACCCAGCTGTTTTTCTTTTAAATTAAGGCTATTGACAAAAGATGAATCATGCCAGATCAGATCAAGTCCTGCTATTATGTTATCCCTAAAAACTCACTTGCCCAATAGGCATGAGTCCAGGCAAGTCATCCTCTAACAAAATCTTTAACTGAGAAAAGTGAGAAGTGGTCCCAAGCAAGAAAATTGTGAGAGCTGCTTGACCAAGTTAGGGCAAGCTTGAATTCAAGTTTTTTTTAGCACTGTTATTTATGTTTGTTGAGCAAAGTAGCATTATTCTGTGATTACTCACCTGTAGTTCAGACTGTGCTTTAGCAAAGTTGTTAGCATAGGTACTATAAAGTTTGATGAATGGTGCCAAGGCCAAAAAGGCATCACCAAGTCCTTGTGTCTCCATGTGACTCAGTAGTTCTCTGTTGACTGCCTGGATTGCTTCAACATTGGAGAAAATGGTGTTGATGGTATTTTGTGGAAGGATGCAGGCAACGTGTAGAGGTTCAAGAAAAAGCTGATAGGAAAAATGGAGAATATCCTAGTTTGAGTACAGCAGAATCCTGATTCCTCAAACCCTTGGTTTTTTCAAATTCAAGATTGCAACCACAACAAACTTTCCTTTACCATTCAAACACAGTGACTGTAATTTTACACCCAATTTTTCAGACCTCCCGATAATTATTGAAACCAATTAAATATTTGCTTTTCCATACATGGTTCACAGGATTTAACCTGTCATGTATTTGCTTTTATATCATCATGCTTCAAGGAATTTTAATCCTCATATGTTGCAGAAAGTGATGATAAAGTCTGAACAGTCAAAGCCCGCTTTATGGACACTCGCTTACTAGTAACATGGACACCTCATTATTCAGACAGTTTGCTTTCTCCCTAGATCTGTAGGAGAAGGGAAAATTTTCTCTAAATTCAACCCACTTACAATGTAATATGGACCCCCTTTGGCCCCCTCAGTGTCTGTATTAACGGGGTTGGACTGTACTATACAGTTACTGTAATGTTGGGCAGTTGACCGCCAGTTACTACGATCCCTCATACAGGTTGTACGTTTAACTCCCTTCACTTAAAGTTTCTTACTTTTTACCATTAGGCTCTTTAACTTACCCTCAATCACTGAACTTCCCAGTAAAGTGATGTTTTTAGGATTTCCCTTACAGGTAAAAGGTTTGTGTTACTGGGAGACAACTATACGCTTAACACCACCACGCATAAACTGGCCTTGATTCATATTCACTTTTCCTCCCTATACCTGCAGTAGTTTCTAGTTATTCACACAGTCAAACATATGTTCTAAAGAACTTTGACATCCTACAAATTATTAAGGTACATTGCAGATTTCCAACCAACTGGGCTTAATTTGTCTACAAGATCATTAAATGTAAGTCAAGTGGAGCTGGCTACTTATGCAAATGGTTTGTGCAGGCAAAAAGTCCACACTAGGTTTTGTCGAGGTTGCAGCAGTTAGAGTGTATTGAGAGATCATTAACCTTACTGTAATCATAGCCTCCAATAGTCACTTTTTAAGGATTGTCATACCTATGAGCTACCTTCCTCCCCTTGCATATGTTTCCAATACAACTCTCCCATGCGGAAGGCTAAGGGTGAGTACCTTGAGATGATCCGGATCAAGATCGAAGATCCAAGATTACTGGAATCAAGGTACATAAAATGAACCGATGTATCCTTTCCAAGGGTGGATTCATACAATGTAGGTTCCTTTTGATCTGCTATGATCCAAGTGATCTCTGATCACTGATCCGGATGCAGATCATCCCAATGGAACACACCCTACATGTAAATGAAGTCTATCTTTGCAACTTCTAAAATCACTAAACTTAAAGCAAGGTAAGTTTATAAAATATTAGTACACACATTTGAAGCTAATTTTTAAAAACTGCTCAATGATAATCATACTCACAGAAGTGATGGCATGTAAGTGTTCTTGGTAAGTCTTTTCTGTGGCAAAAATCTCACTGATGACCTTCTTCCTTTTCCTAGCTAGAGTTTGGGTTCGGAGCATGTGGTTAAACTCTGCAGAAATTGCTTGGCTTGTTTGAGACAGTTGAAGAGAGAGGAATTTCTTGGCATTGTGCACTGTTAAAAAAAATAAATGCTGTTAACCCTTGAAGTCCATTATCCACATACATGATCAATAATGATCAAAACATTTTCCCTTTGTTGACCATTTTATAAATTCTCACTACCTCTTCTCTTGATGCAGTTAGTGGATATTGTGTAGAGAAAATGATGTTGGACACATCGTGCGCAATCCATTCAAACAAAATTTCCGCAAATTTTGGTCCAAAACTCAATGGATCAGTTTGGTCCAACTGGAAAAGTTTCGAAAAAACTGGACCACTTTTCCCGGTCGGACCGGTCTGAATTTGGGTTGAACGGATCGCAACCATCAACTCCTTCTCATTATTTAAGTGATACGAAGAGGAAAGCAAACCCATTTGAGATTATGCAGGGAAGCGGTAGTCAACTAATTACCACCCTCAGACCAAGAAATAAAATCAACAAGTTGGATTGCACTTTGATTACGATTCAATGGATTCAATCTCTGGCTCTTATAACTACGGTCTACCTAAGAGCAATACAATTTGCGTGTTGCACAAAATGGATTGGAATAATACAGGGTTTTATTATGCACAAAAGACATAGGCAACCTCAACTTGCAAAGCAATAGTGTGATGCAATAGTCGATGCAACAAGATTTAGCAGGATCGATATAGGGATGTACGTACACAGTCCCCTCTACAAGTATACCTGGCCTCTGATCTGATCCATGATTATTCCTTCACGAAAATGAATATATTCTAACAAAATTAATGTGAATGAGTGTGGTTTCTAAGATATTTCTTAATACAGTCAAACCTCTTTAATACGGACACCAAAGGGACAGAACCAAGTGTCCGCTTTACAGAGGTGTCCGTATTATAGAGGAAGGGAATGTATGATTTCTGGCATTTCTGGGAACAAACGAACGGTCCGTAATAAATAGGTGTCCGTATTACAGAGGTGTCCGTAAGGAGAGGTTAGACTGTACAGGTAAAAGGATATGCTGTTCATGATTACTTTAGTCTGTTAGCATCGCTACCCAAATTTGTTGCTGATTCAGAGCTACATATCCTTGGTCTTTACTTTAGAGTAAATTTAGTCCTTCAATACATGTGCGTTAGAGCATAATTCATACTTGAAAATACTTATTAACGAAAAGGAAAACCAAACATTTGTTAAAAGCTACCGATTTAATACTCCAAAGGCAAAGTTTTCATACTCACACTTCGGACGAAAAGGACTGCCATTACCGTTAAGCGAAGCCATGACGCTTTCCAGTTTAACCTCGTTGAACGCGCTCGAAGGAAAGCAAATAGGTTCTAAAAATGTAGTGATGATCGTTGAATACTTAACTGTCAATCAAGTGGAAAATTGCACAGTGAAGCAACGCATTAAATTGTGAAAATTGTAAAAAAACGATCAACAGTTTCTCAACGTTCAAACTTCCCACCCTCCTTTGACGCAATGTGGACTGGGTACTAGACTAATCCCGCTGACCACACGTCCCGCGAGTGGTCAACCCTGGACGACACCCTGGACACAACCCTGCGGTCGAGGTTGGTTTATTTTAAGAATACACTAATTATCTCAAACAACAAAAATAAAGGGGGGCTACCTTTTCTATTTTTTCTCTTCAAAAATCCTGACGAGAAGTATTTTTTACTGTCGTGCACGCCAGTAGGAACGTGCGTAACTCGCTCGTTAATCCTTTCTAACTTGTTACTATCCGACTTGCTCCAAAAATGCCACGTTAACCCGCAATAACCGGGGGAGGACAGCGGCCTTCGATGTATATTTGCAGTTTAGCTTCGATCCAGGCCTGGCTTCGATCGGTATGAGCTTACGCAATTAGGCGCATCAGTAAACCCGCGAAGTTGCCTTCTCACACGAAGCTGATATTTGCCCACAGAAGGTCAGGTTGCGATTAGCCTCCCACGCTGACATTCTTACGTAGGCTTAGCTACATAATTCTGGATTTTTTTTTTTGGAATTTTAGACATCTATAAGAATTTTAGACAATCTAGGGAATTTTAGGGGAAAAGTCGACAAATTCGCGAATTTTAGATCAATTTGAACATTCACCCGACATTTTGGCAACATTTCACGGAAAAAACGTTGGCAAAACGTTTTTTTTGTATTCCTACCGGCCAAGAGAGGGCTCAGTCCGCTTACATGCTACATAAATGTCTAGAACACTGTCTACTGAGCCTCTCTCCTCCCCAGAGGCCTCTTTATGTCGCAAGGAGGCTGGGAGAAAGAAAAAGAAAGCGTGCGGGGCATGATGGGAAGGGGAAAAAGAAGGAAGCCTCTTGCCATCGTTCCCCGCCCTTGAAAAAACGCCGTGTGACAAGGGCGTAGGGAAAGTTGGTTATCATTAGAAGTTGCTCGCTCCGGGTTATCAGCCCAGCAGCCTTATAAATTACTGCTTCCAGAACATGGTCCTGAGACAAAGAGAGTTGATCACCTCACCATACTGATGAAAAAAGGAAATTCAACCAAGCTTGTTGGCCAGCAATAAAAATTCTAGTGAAGAACTGTTGTCTCTTTTTGGTTTCCTCCAATAACCTGGGGATGTACAAGGAGGAAGACGGGACTGGCTTATCCCCGAGCACCACTCTCGCTGATATCAAACAGACACCGCTGGAGAGCATATAGCCTCTACTAGGCGTTCAGATAGTAAAGCTCAAAATAGGGCAAATGAAAAAAAGGTGTTTGATTAATTTTCACGCTATCCAACTTCGCAGAGGACGAAAGAAAACAAAGCCACACACTATTACAATGAATTTTCTCTTTAATCCTTAGCCAGTGGAATTACTCACGAGTGTTGCATGTGAATATAAGAAGGCCATGAACACAAGTGATACTTCAACCTTATCCCCTTAGAAAATAGGATCGAGGGGCAAAAGCCCTGGGGATGAGGTCTGTGATACTTATGAACAGGTTCTGGAAGGGTGGTGGGGGGAGTCTGATCCGAATTCCCGCTCCTTGTTTAACGACGCGGCATCAAGATTTTAGAGAATCCCGCATCCCGCATCCCGAGTAGCGGGCAAATTCCATATCCCGTCAAGAAATTTTGCGTTTTCCCAAATCCCTCACTACACTTCGGTCAAATCTCGGATGCCGAGAATGGCCTTCCAGACCCTGTTAGAAATATTACGTGTTACAAAGAGGAGGCCAATCAGCTGTTAGAAAGCTAAACCGAAAACAGCAATGGTTACAATTAGTTTGGGCCTTTTTAATTGGATTGTAATAGTGCTTCCTTAGCATTCATCAAATGTGAAAGGTTACTTTACAATCAACATTCTTGAAATTTGAGGTTTCCACGGCTTTCTAATACCAGAAGTCAGAACAGGCCGGCCGTACCGATCATTGCTTTTTAGAATGAAATAGGCTTTTTGGAAGTTTAAAACCCATTATTGTATGGCTGAATCCGAAAGCCGGCATGAAACGAATCCTGCGTTCTGATGGCTACCCGAGCGGGCAACATGGGCTCATCTTGCCTGCTCGGGATTTCCCGCGTTGGCCCCCAACAAAAAGTTCTCTCTCTGGCCATATGATAAATCCTTTATTGACCAAGCTTGTTAGGTCAAGATGGCTGTATATTGGCTTCGTTCTTTTTTGCGTTTTTAATGACTTTGACCTTGTCTCGGGAAACGCAAAAAACACTTGGCCAATATACAGCCACCTTGGTCAATAATGCATATTTACTGCCTACAAACACTAACAGTATTTAGGAATAGACTGATCTGGCTTTATGACTGGACCAGTAAGGCCACTACTACCTAAGAATAAATACGGGACATTTTGTACTTCACTTTCGAAAAGTAAGAACTGAGAACTCATTCCCAACCTGATATCTCTTCACTTGTTTAAGCTAATAGTTCTAATAATGTTGGTATAACATTGTAAATTGACTAGCCTCAATTTCCGAAATCACTTTGAGTCACTTACTCCTTAATTCACTGCACTGAGGGAGTGAGACCTGAAGTGATGTCAGAAATTCAGGCTAGTCAATTGACATGTTTGTTGTGGTGATGATTTTGGTATAAACATTANTCAATAATGCATATTTACTGCCTACAAACACTAACAGTATTTAGGAATAGACTGATCTGGCTTTATGACTGGACCAGTAAGGCCACTACTACCTAAGAATAAATACGGGACATTTTGTACTTCACTTTCGAAAAGTAAGAACTGAGAACTCATTCCCAACCTGATATCTCTTCACTTGTTTAAGCTAATAGTTCTAATAATTTTGGTATAACATTGTAAATTGACTAGCCTCAATTTCCGAAATCACTTTGAGTCACTTACTCCTTAATTCACTGCACTGAGGGAGTGAGACCTGAAGTGATGTCAGAAATTCAGGCTAGTCAATTGACATGTTTGTTGTGGTGATGATTTTGGTATAAACATTAGTTTTTTTATTAAAATATGAGTGGACACAGAAAATCATCTTGGCCTCATATGGCATGATAGTCTCTGTTCACGTACAAAACGGCATGTTACATGGCCTTTTGTACCCCCTTCCTCCCACGGACATTTGCACTATTGACATTAATAAGAGACCAAAATGGTGTTCAAAAGTCACACCCTGTGGTAAGAAAAGAGGATCAAATTCCGCTACTCTTGGATATCACATCACACACAAAAAAAGACAACATTGTAATAAAGTTCAGAAGCAAAAAAGTATTTTTACCTTCAGCACCCTTCTTCTCTAAGTATGACGTTACAAAGGGACCATGATCTTCAACTAACAAGGTATTATAACTAACATAGATTTCAGGAAATGGTGCCAAAAACTTCTCATTACTGCTATCACAATCCCTGCCCATAACGAAGTGGGGGCGGGTTTAGGGGTGGGTTGGTGGGTATTAAGAAGTCAAATGTCAATGCCTCAAATTTGCCAGGAGGAGGCCATGGTGATGTCTTTATTTGACTGAGACATCAGCAGCAGACTCTTACATAAATTCGTTCTTATGTAGATATTAAGCAAATGTGCTATTATCCCATCTTATGTACCATCTATGGGATTTATACCTGTATTGGTCAGTGGGTTAGTGCATTTCTAAGCCTCAGATTGCAATAAAAAGCAATACCATCACCACACCCCATGACATTCTCGATATATTGCATTCATCTCCCTTCACAGGGGGAGCTGCTGTACACAGAATAGCTTTACTTATAACATCAATAATTTATGTACTCATAGTAGATCCCAACTCCAGACAAAAATAAAATACCTTAATTTACACTTCCATTAGTTACCAAGGGAAATATAAATTCTCATTTTAAAAGTTTCTTAACGACCAAATTCATTTTGACTGCACATACATGAACCTACAGTACATCTCATTATAAAAGATCAACTCCTTGTTCCTTGTCAAAAGAAACAAACACAAAGATTTTGTCCATTGCTGTACATTAAAAGGAGCTATGTCACATAATTTAACCAAAATTTAACAATTCAGCCATTAGTAACTGGGGACCAAATTGAGTGAAATTTAAAATGACCATATAGAAGAGTCAAGGAAGATTTAACTAAGGGCCCATGTACATGGAGAAATAGTCGTGGCTAGAAGTCGCTCGCTCACCCCAGTAACCCTGGACGAGCCAGATTTTCGTTTCCTTACAAAAAGTTGGCTTGGGTACAAGGATGACCCACCTAGCTGTGTCCCCCTTTTTCAATGGTAGGGTCACCCTCTGAGCCACTTTGGCTTGCTCAGCAGGGGAAACTTGGTCAAGACAAGGCAATCTGAGCATGCGCAATCACTGTTATCAGCTCTTGGCTTGGGCAAAGGGGGCAACTTTTTTCTCATATAAACGTTCGCTAAAGTCGACTTGGCTGGGAGGGTGACCTCTTTCCTGGGACCAATTTTCTCCATATATAAACAAGTAGGGCCTAACACAGCAAAATTAATTATACTAAAGAAGGCATGGTTTGATAACATTCAAAATTTTTGAAAACTTGTCAGTCCAAGAGTTTATCATTGTTTATCTTCGTTGTTTGTAACTTTGAATTACAATGCCTGGGGAACATATTTGTTTGTTATAAACAGAGGGGATATTGTTATGTCACTTCACCATGGTACTCAAAATTTCTGGATCTCAACAAACCATGGTCCTGCAAATTAATGACAGAAAAAAAAAAACTAAAAAATGGACATGTACGACTTTCCTGTGCGTGATCACTAAAAGGAACAAAATGGCAGCTCACACTTTTCTTCCATTTTTCAAATGCACTTTTATGGCCGTCTTTGTCAAGAAAGATTGTTGAGATCCAAAAAATTTATTACCATGGCAACCCTCACAGTTGTGACCATTTTGGTCGCCATGGTGCCTAAAATTTTGGAGCTGGCGACTTGATTTGTAAAAAAGTCTCCCTAAACCAAAAGAGTTGGTTGCCAAGTGGCGACCAAGCAAAAACTTTTACTTGGAGAGTTGCATGGGAATGTGATGTGACACTTCTCCTCTGTATTAAAGTTGAGGTTTCTTCCCGAGCAATTGTCAAACGAAACAAAATGGACTAAACTGCTGTGACATAGCTCCTTTAAGGCAAGGTAATGCCCACATGCAGAACAAGCATAAGACCCATTATCAAGTTGGAGCACCAGCCCCTTCAGCCAATCCCAGAACAAAGTTTCCTATCTCTGTCTTGCTGGGAGTTTCTGGCACTTCCCAAAAATCTTTATTTCCATGAATTTCATCTCGGCAAATGGGACAAGTGTTACTAACATCACTCCTGTAAAGGGAAATCAGCATACCGGTATATTGAAAGTACAGTTGTAGTTAAATAAGGAAGTGAGGGTAGGGGTGGGGCAGGGCTGCAAAAATTTTCTTTTTATAAGTAAAAAGGAGCAGGTTAAGCAAATTATGATAAATATTTTTAATAGCTATCCAGCCCCAGCACACACAGACTATACTTCACATCTATTTCCAGAACAAAACCCTATATTAATTTTATAACCATGTATTTTTACTGATTTATTTTTAATTGATCAGTTGGACTCACTGATACTGTTGTCACCATTTTCTTTACCACTAAATCAAGATGTAACAATAAATTTATTATAGTCATGACAAGGGATGAAGAAAATGTCTTTGTTATACCTCTCAGCTCAAGAATGTTGGATTCAAGAATGTGTCACATGCCGTGAGTCAAAACAATCTACCAGTAACTGTCTACAGAACTGTACATGCAGACTTGTGTGAGACCTGGACTCTGCCTTGAAACAGGGGGTAAATATACATGACATCTAAGTCAAGCAGAAAATAATACTCTTCACATTCACAGCAAAAAAATCAAATTACAAGTTGTTCCATTTTTAAGTTGGGAGGTATGACCAAACACTTCATGGGTGGCCCTTGGGGAAGCACAGAGAAATTTTTCTCTCATTAACCCTAATATTCTCCTTGCCTTATCTCCAGGAATATTGACAATCTCAGGGAAACAAAATTCACTTTTTCCCTTGTGCCCAGTCATTAAGTGTGTGGTGTCGTGCGACTTCCCACAATACCAACTAGGCATTCTCAGTATTCCACTAAAGCTAGTGAGGAGCTCAAGGCAGTAAGATACTAAGACATTGCACTGTAGGTTGATACTGAGTTCACAATATAAACTAGGTCAATAATTAAATAATAATAATATTAATAATAATAATAATATATTCTAAATTTGCTTTAAGTGCTTAAATCACAATCAGAGAAATGTCAATCATATCACTGACGATGTTTTCTTTACATAGGAGTTAAAATTGATGACTTACCATCTGTCAATACAAGTTTTACAGAAGCTGTGAACACATGCCAAAATGACTTCAGCCTTTTGATCCATACATATACAACACTCATCAGTGTCGGGTTTTTCTGCTGCTACTTCATCAACCCTAAAAAAAGTGGGAAAGAAATGGAAGAATATATGAAGGTCACCTATGGTGAAGGCATACGTTGATCAGTAAGAATCTGGCAACCATGCTAAAAATAGTACCAAAGGCAACAGATACACAAGATAATGCATCAGCAGAGAGCTTGGAGAAAACCCATAGAACAAGTGGGAGTATGTGCCTGAGCTTGTCATGAAATAAATCCAACAGAAGTGGTAGTACAATGAAACTTCCAAAAAACAAAAGTGCAAAGGAAATGAACAATGAAAAAATCATACTTAATAAGGCGTAATATGAGGTAAACGTTTCCTTTTGTATGTAAACATTTCATTGCTTATCACTGTTCTTGTGAAGACGTTTGTCAGTGAAAGCTCCCTTAAATGAAAACCCTTGGAACTTGGCAGAAAAAGTAGACTGCAAAACAGTCGGGTTTTTTCTCAAAATCAGTAAAGAAATCGGTAAAGTGTGGTGTAAAAGTCTTACTGTTTTCAGCCTCGTTCCAGACCTTTTGTTTGACTGCTCGCGCGTACTTGAATATGCAAAAATACGAACTGTTTTGCAGTCTACAGAAAAACTGGAGCTATGCTTCTTGCAGGAATCGCCAAATGGAAAAGCCACAGGCAGAACAAGGAAACAAGTGCTAATTGGTGCAGTACACTTATTGAAACAATCCACATTTACTGCTTGCAACTACACTTAACTCTATTACAAGGCTAAACGAAACCTGTCTAGTCTTTCAGGACAAGTAGATTTTCTTCATGGGCATTCCAAAGTAACTTTTATAGAGCTCGATCATTTGCCCAGTTAGCAAAGGCGCAAGCATTAGTCACTTTGTAAATATTTCGCTAACTCATACTTAAGCAAGCAAATTATGGCCTCAGGTAGAAAAATGTGACAGCTGTTTGTCCAAAGGACAATCTGGAATTCAATTTTTTTCGGGCCCTGTGCAGTGTGTTAGTTAGTAAAAAAGAACCAAGTAGTAGCAGTATAGGCTCATGTACTGCTAGCAATGACTCTTAACACTGTAAGTGAAGAAAAAACACCCAATACATGTACTAAATCATTTATTCACAACACTGTATTTAACAGTAATTAAAAACAATAACTGGATGAGGTTTTTGTGATATCCAGAATAATCAAGATCAAGGTAAAAGTTATTAGCTGAGGCCAAGAATCAACCTAGGTTAAAAAATGTTATCTTGAATTTAATTTTGACCTCTAACATCGATAGCTATACAGCATATGGGTTACATGTACCTTGTAAATATCATTGATACACAAAGAGATTCTCTGACTTCCTCTAGTCTTACTGGACATGATTCCCAGGACTGAAATTATTCAAAAATAAATTAATAATGTAAATACAACAGCTGACATTTGATTCTACACTTTGGAATTATTACAGTCAAGCAGAGAATGGAACAAGAGGGAACAGTGACCATTGACAAATAAGTGTGTTTGACAAGCAATGAGCAGAGAATTGAAGAACCACATTTTGCGATACTTAAAAAAGCACATAATGCAGACAGGCTCATCTAAAGTTTGAGGATATATACTGCATGGACTGGTGCCCAGGGGGGGGGGTACTCTGGATTTCAAGTGACCGGGATAATCGAGGAATTTTTTTGGGTTTGAAATTTTCGCTTTCGGGATTTTTTTGGGTAAGAAAATTTTGGCTTGCAAGTATTTTTTGGGTAACTTGATTTAAGAAGCGACTTTTGCGTATTCAAAACAATCTGAAGATTTGTGATAGTTTCCGCGTATCCCGGCTGCGTAGTTCCTCTGAAAATTTTGATAGCTTGGAAATTTGGCATGGGAGTTTTTGGGGTTTTGGTTGAAACCCTGGGGATTTTTTGGGGTTTTAATTTTTGCCGCCATTTGATCATCCCTGTCACGTGTGTTGAGTATGCTTAATACCCAACAGCTCTTAGTACCTCTCCAATACAATCCACTCTCTCCCAGTCTTCATCTTCATGACTGCGTGTGTGCCTCAGTTGCTTTGTGATATCCCGATACAATTTGCAGAACTGTCTTAGGTCCATAACCCTTTGGCTTTCCACCTTAGAAGTTGAAGAATTTACCTACAGAAGAATAGAAAGCAAGGAATTAAAATCACTGCTATAAAGATACACAGCTTGGCAAGACCCAGCTATATTCTAACAAGTTTTTTAAATGAAAGGATTGACTCAGCGAGTCTTATTCATTCAAGAATTGGTTTCAAAGCATGGCACCTTTAAATTTAAAACTTCTTTGGAAAAACTCTCTTTTACATTTAGGAAGTGTCTGATCAGTATAACCCTGTACTGTTACATAGATAGTTATTAAACTGATCTACATTCCTTCTAACAAAAGAGATCCTTAGGCCGGGGGTGGTGTGGTCATTCAATATTTTATACATTAAAATTGACTTTGCATAGTGCCGTCTATCATCAAGTGTTTCCCAAGAAAGAAAGTCAATTTAGTCTGTAGAGTGAATTAGCAAATGACTGGAATCTTTACAGTTTATCTTCCAATAATTTGCTGCAGGTGTACCACTACGGAGAACAGAACTCAAAATATGGACTAAGCCATATTTCTTTTCACCAGAATGGCTGTCTTTGCTATTACACATTCTTTTCACCATGAACATTGAAAATTACATTGGTATAGGTAATAGCATGATTACAGGGTTTGAGCTAGGATTTGATCACTGGGGGAAAATTTGTCCCCTTGGCTAAAATTTTGGGGGACATTTTCATTTTTAGGGGGACAGTAATTTGTACACCCTTCCTTCTTAGTAGGGCTTCTGATAGGTCTCGGACGAAAAAGTCAAATTTCGCGGGATTTCTAGGGACAAATTCGCGGAAAAATCAGCCGATTTCGCGGGAGTTTTCGGGGCAAACTTCACCGAAAAGCAATCAGTAAAAAACGGCCGATTTTGTGGTTATTTTCAAGGCAAATTTCACTAGAAATTGATCGGTTTTGCGCTGATCAGACTAGCCTTTTTAACGTTTTTCTAACAGAGGTCATCATTTGCTCTTTCAACAACAATACGCTCCAGAAATGAACCAATGGCAAAGCCTTTAACATGATGGCTAGTGCCCAGTTTTTCCCAACCTAATCTGTTTGCACGTTTCAGTGACGAAGTTCCAAGATAAATTTGCAAGTTTACGGCAAGTAAATAGCCCTTATAGCTGAAATAAGTTTCAAATATGTTGTACAGACATGTATTTGATAAGATTTCTACCAAATTTCGCGGTATTTTTCGTGTTTGTGAATTTCGCGGCTCCGCGACCGCGCGAAAAATCAGAAGCCCTGTCTTAGATTTCCGACAAAAATAGCAGTAGAGCGTGACTGAAACGTAACTTTGAAATGAACTTTAAAGGTGCGATAAAATATACTTTCCACGTTCTGTTTCAGCTTGCAACTTCTGTACCGAAATAAATCTCTTCGTGTGTGCCTCCTTTTGAGTTTTTTCCCTTAATTTTGAAGAGGACAAATTGTCCCCTTGGCCGTTTTTTAAAGCGACAATTCCAATTGCAGTGCAGGATTGGCGCAATGGCCCAGCCTGGCTCAAACCCTGTGATTAGTAGTGATATTTGGCATAAATACCACGAGTGATATTTCAAAATTGTTATACGTAATTTCACGAGCCGTTAGGCGGGTGAAATTTGAGACAATTTTGAAATATCATGACTGGTATTTATGCCAAATATCACAAACAAATCATGCTATTATTTGTTTATACTACTACCCGCAAAAGGTTTGTAATTTTCACATGTAGGTATTTCAAATTAAGCTGAAATACCACTGCTCTAAGCCAATCAAATTGCAGTAATTTTTCATGTAGTAGTATAAACCAATAAATTGTCACCTTGTAACAAAATATCCTTGTTGTAGCTTTCCACAAGTATCCATAATAATGCTCCTCAGAGGGCTCTTTAATTGTGAACATTATCTGATGTCCTCTATCCTCTGCAAAGGTTTTGAGTCTATGCAACAGAAAAATATTGTTCATGACTTGAGCTTAACCTAACAGTAGGTGTAAAATGTGCATACAGTTGACTCCCGATAACTCGAACCTTCAAGGGAAATCCAAAAAAGGTCGAGTCATGGGGAGTTCAAGTTATCGGGAGCTTGAAGAAAATAGCCAAAAGTAAGGTAAAAAACAGTTTTTACTGTACAGTGAACATTTTAATCACATGTTATTGTAGAAATGTTAAGTGAAAATTGAAAGATACTTTTAGATAATAAATCAGAACATAACGTAACAAAACATAGCCTAAATAGAGCATGCGTTTTACTGTTTTGAAAATAAAGCTGTTTCACGTTAGATTTGTGACAACAACATCAGCCTCCACTAGTAAACTATATAAAGTATATGTCTACAACACGTCAATGGGACTTCAAAATCCAATGTTTTGGACTCTAGTACACAGTTTTTTCCCAACCTTTTAAGCGCTCAAAACAAGGTTCAAGTTATTGAGGGTACAATTATATAGAAATGATCTGAGGGGAAACAAAGATTACTTCGAGTTAGCAGGAGGATCGAGTTATCGAGGGTTCAAGGTACTAGGGTAAAACTACAGTAAATGTATAAAGAAAATCCAGGGGAAATTGTTTTGGTTTGAGTTAGTTTGAGGTTCAAGTTAGCGAGGGTTTGAGTTATCGGGAGTCAACTGTAATAATATTGTAAGTAGTAGTCTGATCAATTCCTTGAACCTTGATGTTCCCCTTTTCATTATACTCAGAGAAACATTGAGGGTCTCGTCGGAACTAATTGATTCCCTATGGGCCAGCCATTAACTGTCCCAGGTGGACTGAATGTTCATAAACAACAGACTTATCCCTTGTGAGTAGACTATTCAAGAATAGAATGGTCATATATGTACAGATATCAGATGGATATAGCAACCAACTTAACCCATCTGGCCCATGTGAACATAGCATCAATGGCCAAAACATATATTATCGTCTTCAATGTAATGCATTATATATTTGCTTGGAATGAAACTGAAATAT